GAGAGAGAGAGAGAGAGAGAGAGAGAGAGAGAGAGAGAGAGAGAGAGTGCGAAATAATGAAAGAAGCGGGAGGGGCAGGAAAGCCATAGGGAATAAAATGTCAACAATAAAACTGTGCCACTTAACAAAACCATTCAAGCATCAAACTCTAAAAGTATAATTATATATGAAAACGAAAAAAAAAAAACAAACAGCAACACAATAATATATTAACAACCGAAAACATAAACGTAACACAAATTAAAAACGCAACGTAATATATTGCACGTATTGCACACAAATGTTTTGTTTTTTTTTTTTTTTTTTTTGTTGAGACCAACACACGAATCCCACATCACCCACTAGCACCACTTACGGTCAGACCATGAAAATTTAGTTCGTCATAGGCCATTGTGCAGAATAATGCTCATGTGTGCAAGTAAATATGCACGCACACATACGCACACATGTTCATAAATACGTATATATGGTAAAAACGAAAATGTAGAAGTAAAAATATATTATAAACTGCTATGCTTACCTAAAGAAGGTTTACAACCGAGATTAGGTTAACATTTTTTCAGTAAATTTAAATTGAAATTAATTTCAATATTTTAATGGCATGCCATACGCTCGCTACTCGTTTCATTTGCTTTTTCACTTTAACTATAAAAATAAATAATTTATTTAAAAGTAAATTAAGAAGAGAATAACAACAACAACATAACACATACCGTAAAGAACGATTTTTAAATGACGAACGACGACGAAACAGCGACTGCATAAAGTTTACAGTTTCAACAATATTACGATATTATTATTATTGCTATTATTATTATAGTATTTCGGATATTGTTGCGTGCGAAAAATTCCATAATGGCCATAAAATACAATTAGCTGATAAATGTTTAGTTACTATAGGTAATGAATCCTTCAAAGAAACGAGATAAGCTACATATGTGTCAAGTCAAATACACGATCACAAAAATTCAAATGGATATCTACACAATATGTCGCAGCTGCCTGCAATCGCTCACGTCATTTTTTCATTTAAAAAAAATATAATAAGAATAATAATAGAAAATTATTACGCGCTTACTCCAATATTGGTACTTATTTGAATTAGAATTGAATAGCTATGCGAAGAAAAGATGTGTGTTATAAATCAGATATAAATCAGAAAATCTTAACCATTTGCACATATGATATACATATGTCCTATAAACTAACCGATTACCGCAATATTCAATAAGATATAATTATTCTTTACCCTTTAATTTGAACACTAACTTAATAAGATCATAGGCTGACATATATAATTAATACTGTTATTATTATTGTTATTGTGTGGGCAATCCGTGCGGCGATCTAAAAGATCTATTGTACTCGCCCATGTCTTTATCTCTCCAGTTTTAGAATTCTTTGAATCCCGTCAACATTCTTTGGTTCGGAGCACCATAATGTGCGTGACATTGTGAAATATTCGCCAAAAACTTGGCGCCTGATTCGGCAGATGGCCACACATTCACATAGGAAACGGTGGAATGTTTCGCCCTCGCTAGACAGAACTTGCATGAATTGTTATTGAAGATACCTATGTTTCTCAGTTGAGGGAATTATAGGCCGTATAGGAGCGTAGATAGCGCATCCTACAGGTATCTTGTGCGCTGTACCGGAAGATTATATAAATCTTTTCGCTTCCCGTTGTCCTACACTTTGCTTCAAACGGCAATCCAATATTTCCTGTTCCAATTGCGATATTAGGCTACTAATAAGGCTTCCGGGCACGCCGCGAAAAGATCCCGGACCTATCATGGTGCTTCGGGCTTACCTATTAGATAGACAGTCAGCCCGTTCATTGTTTTCAATGCCACTAAGGTCCCGTACCCGTACCAAGCGCCGGTCATTGTGCTTTCCCAATTCGTTCACGTTTTAAACATAGAATGATATATAAATGTCGATGTTTGAATATATTTCGTTTTAATGTTGGTCCTAACTATATAATTAATCGTATGTACCGCAGCAATAGTCATTTTACAAATGTACGTTATCTTACGAACTTATTGAGTGATGTGTTATTTAACTATTTCTACCCAATATATATATATATATTTTTTTTTTTTTTTTCC